CTTTCAATTTTCTGGGATAGAATTACACCCTAGGACAACTAGAGATTGAGGTTTTGGAAATACACTGAATTTTTAGGTTGGCTTAGAACTGAGGAAATTTGGAATTCTAACTCCAAGAACCTGTGTCTCTGTGGCCTGGCCTAGTACATGGGTCCAAAAGGAAAGAATAATTCCTAGACATATGGTATTGACCTTATGCAACAATGTACTCAGATCATCCTGGAATCTGGGTCTAATGAAACAAGTATGGATCCTCTGACTGCTGCAGAAAGACATGAAGCATCAGCCCAGAGACTAGAACCACAGAACTTAGTCTTTTTCTGAGTGAAATGGGAGCCTATGTCTGAAAAGGCTATCCTAAAGCCCGACTCCCCAGGTTTCAATATATTGTGTTAGTTTGTAGTTGCTGGCATGGATCTGAGATTTAAAAGTAGTGACCTGTTAATATGATGGAGCTAGATATAGCATATATTCAAGCTTTTCCAGAGTCTGTGACTGTTGTGAGTGGTTTGGCACTAGGATAAACCTAAAATCTTTTTTTTTTTTTTTTTGTCTTTTTCATTTTTATCGGTACCGGGAATCGAACTCATGACCGCCTGCTTGCAAGGCAGGTGCTTATGCCGCTGAGCTAAATCCCCAGCCCCTTAAAATCTTTATCCATGAGGGGAATCCAGGTAACAGGCTAGCTTAGAACCTAGGCTATAGGAGTTGGTCTGATACTGGCCTATTTACAGCTTGCCTCTAAGATGGCAAGAAGGCTGCATTCATGAGGGATGTGTTGGAGTTTGGATGCATGAATACAGGGCTAGAATAGTCTACAAGGTATGTTATGATGCCTAGAACATAGAGGTCATCGTATCACTTGGGTCCTTTGTGTTGAGCTTAGGCCCTAGTTTCACTGAAGCAAGTAATCCCAGACACTAGGTCTGCTGAAATTAGAATTTTAGTCTCTCCCTGTAAGCAGACAGTCCATGAGTGGCATCTCAAGGAGTCAGTCATGTGGATTTGTAGACACTTGTGTAGTGTTTGAATATCATAGGAGTTGGGCCATAACTAGTGTCCATGCCTGTTGAATAAAAGACTGTAGGTGAACCTGGAAGTGAATATACCTGCATATTCATGTAGTCTTGTACAGATGGTCTATTGGATGAACCTGTAGATTTCATAGGCCTGAAGCCTGGGACAACTGAGGACAACATGGTGATGGTGTGAGGCTGCAAACTCTGTTGAAATAGCCTTAGAACCTAGGACTTTGGAGGTCTTCCTGGAGCTAATTTTACTGGAAAACTCTCCTTATAAGTATCCAAAGCAAAATGCAGGGATCATTTTTTTCTTCCCCTATTAAGATTCCATCACTTTCTCTGTACTGTGATGCCTGGAGTTCAGGGAGAGATGATACGGTTGAAAATATTTTTCCTATACTCTAATCTGGTTTCTTTAGTGCTTAGAAGGAATTTTTAAGTGCCATGCAGAGATAAACAAATTGAAAAACTCAAAAAAGTATTTATACAACAATAGAATAGTAATAGTAAATCTGCTGAAAGTATTTTACTTCCTTTCAATGATTAAATCTTAAATGTTTCATTTTATCATTGCTATTGTGAAAATTATAGTTTCCCTAATTTGTTTCTCAGTGCGATTGTTATTTTGTACAGGAATGTTACTGATATTTGAAAGCTGACTTTGAATCCAGCAATGTGACTCAATTGGTTACTATATCTAGAAGATTTGTTGGAGTTTTCTTAGAAGACCCAAACGCTTCGCCAAATTCTTCTAGTTTTAACATTCTAACCCACTTAAGCTTTGAATTATAACTTCATACCTGGAGTTGAGATGCTTTATGCTTTTCTCTTGTTGCTCAGGATTGTTTTGCCTATTCTGAATATCTTCTACTTTGCTAAAAATTTTAGAGTTTTTTTAGTTCTGTGAAGAATGTTATTTATACTGGGGTTGTTCTAAATCTGTGTATAATTTGGTAATATGACCATTCTGACAATACTGTTTCTGTCTACCCAGTAATAGAGATTGTCTTTTCCTTTACTGTTGTCTTCCTAAGTCTCCAATTTCAGATTTCTACATCATTAAAAAGAATAAATTTGAATATGGTCTAACACAATAAAGACAATCAAAACAGAACAAATAAAGGTGTACAGGACTTCAAAAAAGATAATATAATTCAATGGTTCTTGTTATAAAGCTTAGCCTAATTCCTGGATAACATTTTTGTAGCTTTAAGATAACATTATTTTCCTAAGTCTTCATGGCTTTAGTATTGTTATTGATACATGTGTATAAATTTTGTATCCTGGTACTTTACTGAATGTGTTTATCAGTATGAAGAGTCTTTGGTGAAGATTTTTAAGACTAATATATAAGGGATCATGTCATTTGTAAAACAATATACTTTAGTTCTTTTTTCTGCCTACTACTTTTATTTTTTTCCTGACTTATGTAGATAATATTCTGAGTTCTATATTTAGCATGATTAGTGAGAGTTGTCATGCATTACTTGTTTCTGATTTTAGAGGAAATAATCTGTTTTCTCCGTTTACTATGTTACTGGCAATGGATTACTCATAAATGGTTTTATCATTTAAAGATAAGGTCTTTCTTTACCTATGTTTTCAAGATTTTGATTAAAAATCAATGTTGGAGTTTGTCAAAGATTTTTTGTAGTTATTCAAATGGTCAGATTTTTATTTGGTTCCCTCTGCTTATGTGATTTTCTATATTTATTGATTTATGCATATTGAGCTATCACTGCATTTGTACAATGAAGACAATTTAGTCACGCTGTGTGAACCTTTTGCATTTCTTTGTCAATATCTTGTTGATTATATCTACATATACGTTTGTATACTTTTGCCACGGAGTTTTCTTATTTTGTTAAGTCATCATCTTGTTCTGTAATGAAGTTAATGATGGCTTCTAGAAATGAGTTTGGCAACACTCCTACTATTTCTAGTTCATGGAAGAAGGAGATGCATTCTATCATTATTTCTTCCCTAAAGTACTGATAGAATTCTGTAGCAAAAACTTTATGTTCTCTTCTTTTCTTATTAGTAATGTATTTTACCACTTCCTCAGTTTCATTGACTGCTACTGTTCTGTTGAGGTTTTTATATCTTCTGGATTTTATTTTGAGAATTCATATATGTAGAAATTTCTTCATAGTTTGTAAGTTCTCCAATTACTGGAGTATAATTTTTCAAACACTGTCTTATAATCTAGTTGTCAGAAGTGTCTGTTGTGATTATTTCTGTTCCCTGTTCTAATTTATACTGACATGGGTTTTTTTCCCTTCTTTTGGCAAGCTGCCTATTGGTTTATTAATTTTATTTCTATTTTCAAGTAACCAAACATTTGTGTCATTAATTCTTAATTTCTTATCATCATTATGGTTATTTTTCATTTATAAAATTTGATTTTGTATTTTTCTTATTTTTAGGACTTTTGACATATATCAAAACATTATTTATTTGATATTGCTTTACTCTTTTAATATATCCATTTACAGTTACAAATTTCCCTTTTAGGATAGTTTCCACAGTGTCCCATATGTTTTGGAATATTGTGAACTCATTGTCAGTTGACTTCAGAAATGTTTACCATTCTTATTTGACTTATACTGGGAACCACTAATTATTCAATAATTTATTATTGATTTACCATGCATTGCATAGATTTTATGATTTCTTTTGCTATTATTTTCTACATTTATTCCATAATGAGGTATATAGGGCTTTTATTCCATAATGAGGTATATATCAGAAGTGCTAAAGGCCAAATGATCATGTAGTGAAATTTTTGCAAACACCAAATGAAAAGAGTAATCAACACAGACTTCTGTAACCTGAAAATTTCATGTTCAAACTGACAGCTGAAGACATTACATGTCATATAAATACATTGCCACTAAAAATAGAATTTCCACCAAACATACACTGAGGAATATAAATAAGGGACTCCTAAACAGAGGCAAAGAGGCCACTAGCATTAAAGGACCCAAAGAAATTATACTTCTAATTGGAAAGGTAGTTAAATAAAATGTAAAATAAAAGAATCAGCATTGGAAATATAGGCATAATAAACAAAATTTATAATTTAAATCTAAGTCCAAATATCAATTAAGTACAATAAGTGTGAATGGACTAAATACTAATATAAAGACAAAATATATTTATCTTTTATTTTACTTTTACTTCTATTTATATATTTAAAAAACTCTCCTTTAATGATTTAGTATGCATTTTTACAAAATATTATGAATGGCACACACAGTATATTGTGGTGATATGCTCCAAACTGTTTACTAGTTAATGCATATGATGAACAGAGTTTAGAAAGAAAACTTTCCAGTATGGAGGGACAACTTTTGACTGTGGAAAGGAACACAATTTCAAGGAATATATAAAAGAGATATCCAAATTAAGAAAGCAGTGCAGAATTTCAGCCAGCAGTGCAGAATTCTAAACTATTATGCACCATAGATTTACCGAATTATTATAATCATTAATTTTCTTTTGAAAAGCACAACCTTGAACTATTTCAAAAGCCTTGGAATTTTCAGATTCAAGAGTATTCTGACCAGTAGTTCTGTCACAACTCAGATCTTTTTTTCCATGGATCTGGGAGCAGTTCTCAGACATGTTTATATTTTTAAAAAATAAAACTCACAAATTAACCTTTCTGTTAACTTCTAGTTAAGACTATTAATTTAAATATTTTATTGTTTTATTTTTAATTTTTTTTCCTTCAATAAGTTAGAAGATGCTCAATTATTATTAGAGGCCAGGCTTTGTTCTGTGTATGAGAAGTTACAAGTGAAAATACTTAGACATAAATATACGTGAATTTCACTACTTTGATTTACTGTTATTGTTGTCTAAATATTGCATAAGAAAACCCACTAGTTTTCTGTAGTTTTATAGAATTTTCTAATGGTAAGGGTTAATGTTATTTGTGTTATAAATTCAATTAAATCATTTGCTTTTTAACAGAGAAGAAGTAAACATCACAACATATGCTAACTCCATTTCAAGTAAGAATTTCAGTTTTTGATGTTCAACATTTATTTTTGATAGTCAAATTAGTAATAATTCAATAATGATTTATGTTAAAGTTGACAAAGTAAAATTGCTCTGAATTGGTGTTAAAAATAGTAGATGTGAATATGTAACTATCAAATCTATTACTTGATATGTGTGCATGTGTATATATGTGTGTAAAATATTTCTAACTTTGATATGGCTTTGTACTCACTCATTTAAAATAAAAGATGCATTATTTGTTCTTCTTTTATAATACAAATCAACTGTGCTTGTGTAAAATCCCTTTATGTTAAAAATTAATTTTATAAAATGAAAAACAGGAAATGCAGACAGATCAAGATAGTAAACAGTACATTTCTTGAATAACTGCAACTTTGGAAAGTTTCCTCAGTATATTGAGAAGAAATATGCCTATAATTCTTCAAATTTGCCCATTATCTCATTTTTACCTAGAAATCCTTTAAACAAGTTGGTAACACTGTGATTTAGAGTATGGATTATGCATGTCAATCTTAACTCTGCTACTCATTATTTTTATGATCTGGAGCAAATAGTTTAACCTCTGCTAATAGTTCATTTTTCAATGTTTGTAAAATGAAGAAAATTGTGCTATCTAGTTCAAGTAGTTTGTAAGTATTAAATTAATTGATATGTATAAATGGGCTTAGAACAGAGTCTAACATGTAGTAAATACCACTTAAGTGTCTGCAATTGCACATATGCTGTTATTGTTTGTAAAAATTTATATAGTATTTCTTTAAATAACTGAAAAAGTCATCATATTTGTCATTAACCTCCCAATCTCCAGGACAACTATATTGAGATTCTCCTTCAGTTACTATATTGACACACTTGATAGTTCAGTCTTTCTGATTGTTCCATTTTGTATGTCCCCAAGTATGGGTATACTACACTTTAAATAGAGTGGCAAGATCTGAATTGGATCTGTGACCCTCATCTCTGTGACTAGTGATGTCACCAAATTTAAATGGTTGTCAATACATACACACAATCTTAATCTATCAAGACTTTTATTGATTATGTTAAATATTGTTAGCTACCCTATGACCCACAGAAAAAGTGGATATAATACCACCAATCTAATCAAAATAACATAATAAAATGAACCAAAGCATAGAAAACAAAGGAGGCATCTGAAAGGACTCAGTGAATGTTTCTCTATTTTCAGTCCTATGTTTGATCACAGTATGCTAAAATTATGGTTTAATAGCTATGCGTGAAAATTGACAATACAGAAAATAAAGTAACATATTATTTTAAATATAATCACTTGTTAATTAATTTGACTTTTACTTTCTCTAACTGCTATAGTAATTAACTGTAAACATCAAAGAGAAAAGTTTTGAGTCATGCGTTTAATTTAAATGATATATTTCTTATTTATAGTTAAGTGCTGATGCAAATTTAGTTATTAACTATAAGTTTCTTATTATCTTATCTCATTTTAGCCAATGAACCTAACAGAAAATCATGCAATCAAGAACACTTTGCTTTGACATTTCCCAAACCACCCATGCCAGGCAGAAAAGAGAGATCAAGACTTTCAGAATTACAAATCACAGTTCCTGTAAGTATTGAAAAGTTAAATGGAATATGTTTCTATTTGTACATTATATATAAATATAAACAAGATATATTTACTTTTACTATTCTTTATGGATTTTTCCTTCTTATTTTAGTCTCAAATTTATTAGCACCTTATATGTCCCCTCAAATTCATCATATAGCATTGTATATGCAAGTTAGAGAGACTAAATGTTGCAACTGGAATATCAGTTGGACAATGTTTACCTGTTGCAAAATGATTAAAAATTTGAATCTTAATGCAGGAGTTAATTTTGCTTTCAGGGCCTTCAAATTTTCTTTAGTATGAAGTTGAGGATATTGACACTAACAGATTCTATTTTATTTGCATTTATAAAGTAGAATTAAAAGTTAATTTGAAAAAATAAAAAATTGCATGTGTCACTCCTTTTGATTGCAAAATATTTTGAAAACATCTTCTAAAATGTTGCACTCAGTGTGCTTATCTAAGAGGTATTCCTTTCTATACTGATTCAAGTTATATACTTCTCTTCATGTTCTTTTCTCAACTCAATTCTAAACAATTTATTGTTAGAGTCTAGTATATAGCTGGACAACTATAAAAAAGAAACAAAATCAGCTTTTGTGGTCAATGTTACAATCAGATTTAAACTTTTTGCAGTAAATTTCACCATTACTACACAAATTAACCTAGATCAAATATGTGTTTGTTTTGGTTTTGTGTCTTTGTTTCTTACTGTACTCTACAGTTATGGTGTTAGGTTCTGAACCTAGTCAGAGAACCTTAAAGCAATGTAAAGCAGGTTAGCCCCAAAGACTGAATATATCACATGATTTATCATTGGAAAGTTTACAAGGGATCATTTTTCTGACTAATTTGGGGAAGAACAGTGTGCAAAGTGTTCCAAATAGAGTTCCAAATGACAAAAGAAAACAGTAGTTGATTGTAAAGACAAGCTGTAGTGTATCATGGATTATTGTGAACCTTTTCCAGTCTATATATGAATCCTCATATAAATTATTTTCACTTAAATCATTTTATTTCTAGTATAGAATTAACAGAGATATGCACATACAAAACTGTTACAAGGAAAAAATATTTTCTGATTTCAAATAAATGCTTATAAAGTTACTATTTCAGATAAAAGTAAAATATATAACTTATTTATGAATATTTATCATTACTCTATCTAATTATTTCAGACACAAGTCAGTAGAAAAAGAGAAGAAGATCAGAAGCCAGCTCATACATGGATAAGGCATTCTTTAAAACGTTTCTTTCAATGGCCATCCATTTACCTAACTTTCAAACTACAGGCTCCACCTAGGCATCCTCATTTTTCCCAAACACATCCTATAGAGGCAGAAAATAAGAAATCCAAAAATGATATAAAAGCAGCTCCAAAGAAAGACTCCAAGAAAAAAAACTATTCACATGCAATAAATCCAGAATTTAAAAGCATAGTAAAAAATGATAAAACCAAAAGAAGAATTAAAGGAGATAAATCTCCATCAATATCACCAAATGAAGGAAAACTGATTAAATCAAAGTCAGGATCAGAAAAAAGTCCAGTACTCAAAAATTTTAAGGCAATGTCAAAAAATATTTTAAAATATAAGACAAATTCAAAAACTTACAAGAAGTCAGATACGGAATCCAAATTTAATAAGAGGAATATAAATAAAGATTCTAAGACATCTAACAAAAATTCTGATTGCAAATCAGGGACTTTTTCAATAAATAGTTCAAATATCAATTTAATGATGTATTCGAAGGAGTCTGTCTCTGAATCCACAGATATTGACGTATGGTTAAAAAATTATTCACATAACAATGCAAAGAAACCTCCAAAAAAAGATGCAAAGAGGAGCTCAGACGCTGACTCTGCAGACTCAAAAGATGCCAAGAAAGGTGCAAAGAAGGATAAGAAACCAGCAAAGAAAGATGACAAAAAGAAGGATGCAAAGGATTTAGAATCTACAGATGCTGAATCTGGAGATTCAAGGGATGCAAAAAAAGGTGCAAAGAAAGATAAGAAGCCTTCAAAGAAAGATGACAAAAAGAAAGATGCAAAAAAAGGCGCAGTATCTACTGATACTGAATCTGGAGATTCAAGGGATGCAAAGAAAGTTGCAAAGAAAGATAAGAAACCTGCAAAGAAAGATGACAAGAAGAAAGAAGCAAAAAGAGACACAGAATCTACTGATGCTGAATCTGGGGATTCAACGGATGCAAAGAAAGGTGCAAAAAAAGATCAGAAAGCCTCAAAGAAAGATTTCAAGAAGAAAGATGCAAAAAATGAAGCAGAATCTACTGATGTTGAATCTGGTGACTCAAAGGATTCAAAACAGGGTAAGAAACTAACAAGGAAAGCCAGCAAGAAGAACGATGGAAAAAAAGACACACCTACTGATTCTGAATCTGAATTAGAGTCCAACAAAGGTAAGAAAAATGACAAAAAAGTAAAGAAAGATAGTAAAAATGTACCCATCAAGAAAGACATAGCTTCTACTGAGCTTGATACCGAATCTGAAGCAGATTTTAAAAAAGGCAAGAAAGATGAAGCTAAGACTAAAAAAAGTGACATAAAGAAGGATGCAAAAAAGGCCATAGAGTCTACTGAAAGTGAGTCTGAATTGGAATCAAAGAAAGCTAAAAAAGATTCAAAGAAGGAAAAGAGAGGTTCAAAGAAAGATGTCAAGAGAGAAGTAAAGAAGTACACAGAATCTACTGATGCTGAATCTGACAAGTCACTAAGCAAACCTGCAGCTAAAAAAAGGAGTGATGACTCAGATGCCACATCTGCAGATTCGAGGAAGGGAGTAAATGGACTAAAGAAAGGATTTAGAATGTCATCTAAAAAGACGACTTTCAGTGAGAAACAAAAAGATTCATTTACATGTAGAATTCCTCCATCAAGAGAAAAGGCACCACTGCCTCCTTGTGAGACTTTTCTACCATTACCCAGGGTCAAACGTCGCTGTCAGTGCAAGATGCCTCCTCCACCTCCAAAACCAAGATATGCACCTTTGGTATGTTTGCTTCTGCTTATTTTATAGGTCAAATCATATTTTAAGATGAAATATTGTTTACATTGTAAAATTTTCCATTCTCTGAAGAGCAGTTATCATGGAATAGTGACAAATATGAGACAGTATTAAGATAAAATATACTTCAAAGTGACTCAAAATATTTGAAAAACAAATGTCAAAAGTTAATCAAATGTGCACAATTTAAACTATTTAACCTACACATGAACTAACATTTTTGAGTCCTTATCATTGTTGATACTAAAAAACCAAAATTTACTTCCCAAAAGTAATTAGATCTCCTTTGACTTCTAACAAACTGTCAAGATTTACTCCACCTTCTTGAGAGTACTCTCACTTTATAACATATTTTCTTATTTAACCAAGTAACTCTTTTATTTCTCTTTCTCAATAGTCTGATTTTATAGGGAGACATAAATAGACCTTTCATTTTTTAAGGAAATATCCTGTCCCAAAATGGAGTGTTGACCTCCGTTTCTGTCTTCTTCTGGTCTTTGTTGAAATGTAACCCACTTTAATGTGTTCTGAGCATCACACGTTTCCTCTTTCACTGCCTTTGTTGTCTGTTCTCAGAATAGTAGGACTGATGCAATTTGTCATGCTTAACTCAAGAGATCTGTAAGCATTGCTAGATTTTCATAATATCCTTCTCATATTAATTGTTTCCTTTTTCTCTTCATGCACCACCATTTCTCCTTTCTCTTCCTCTTTCTCCTCATCTTTCCTCTTGTCATTTTCTTATTTGTCTCCCTTGAGGTGTTGATGCTGCCTCTTGTAATCTGATAGGGCTTTGCCCTTACCTTATACACTAAAATTTATTTACATGTGGTTATTAATAAAACTGATTGGTTTTCATTTCACGTAATTCAGTTTGCATTTAACAATTTTATTTCTGTAAATAAGAACTACATTTTATGTCTCTTAAAAGGCCTGTGTATGAAGGCCATGTTCTCTCAACATTCTCAAAAATATTATTTGAGACACAGCTGATTAATACCCTCCTTGCTCTACATTCTGTCCACTTTGAGGCACTAGGAATGAAGAAAGCTTGCAAGGAGTGAGAGTGTACTGGAGATGACTTTTACAATAAATGTACAAGAATCACTAAATGGCTAGATTATTTTCTACAAGCAGTTTTAGGTAAAATATAAAAGAATAAATTCTCTTTTAAAGGCTATCAAGTATGCTCTTTATTGATGTCTACTGCTTGTCTTCTCTTCTTATCTTAGTCTATAATCTAACAGATTTTAAACTAGATTCTCTCCTAGAAGCACATGCTTTACTTCACATCTATGATGCATTGCCTTCCTATTTTTGTCCCTAATGTGTGGTAGCTTTTTATCATGTTTATTCATATTCCACTGCCCCATGTTTAATCGCTGCAGTGACTCAGGGCTTTTTCCTTTATCATCTTCTTATATCATCTACTTATGATGAGTTTGTGAAACCTAATGGCTTTAAATATTGTTATTTTTAGAGGACTCTAAAACTAATCCATGCTTCTCATTTTATGATGAAGTTTCACGTTCTTGTAACTAAATTCTGAAAACTCCCACTGTAAGATCTCAATTTAACATTTCTCAAAACCACTTTTACTCTACTACAAACTAATTTTCTCTTCTAGCCTTCTTTGTTATTTTAAAAGACACCATTTTCGAACAAACTGATCTTTTAACACCTGAATATAATCTGTGTTTTGACTTCTTCTGTCTTCTCACATGCAATCATTCAATCAGATATGGCTGATGTATCATGAATCAGTGTATTTTTCTAAATCTCCATCATTAACATATTGGGGTCTAAATGACATTACTATTATCACTTTTCCTGGAAAACTGTGAAAGTTTCCAACTCATGACCCTATCTTATACTATTTAAAATTAGTCTTCTCCAAAGAAACTAGTATTAATTGAAAATATGGAAACTCAAAATATCATATTAGAAATGTGCCTTAACATTTTTTCTTAATTACTCTATTCCTTAAACTAGAAATGTAGAATAGAACTTAATGATAGCAATAACTGAACTATTTGGAATCTTGAACATAACAGTGATTTCAAGAGTGTGGAGATATATATATATATATACTCACCAATTTGTACAATCAGTCTAAATTCATGTATTACATTGTATATATGAATTTAATTAAAACTGAATAAATATAGAGTGCTTAGGATCAGCAGAATTAAACTGAAGACAAGAATAAAGTTTCAAAAACTTTATAATGCTCACAATTTCATTCAGAATGAATGTCAAAATGTTAAAAATTGCCATCACTTCTAATATGATTCATTTTTCTCCATGATCTCGTTTTCTTTTTCTCATTCTTTTCAAACTGTTTTAGACAAATAGGCCTCATTGTTGATTCTTGAATATTCCAGAATCATACTGAGGGCTTTTGCATTGGTCATTTGCTCTCTCTGGAATATTTTCCCTAGATTTTTGCATGGTTAACTCTTACACATTTTTAAATATTTGTTCAAAGTTCAATTTTATAGTGAGGCAACTCTATTTTATTTAAAATTGCAACATTTCTTACCTCCTACATTCTCTTTTTAATTCATCTGTGTTTTTTCAGATAATTTGCTTTTTGGTAGGTTATTTAAATTTGATATTGTTTATTGTGTTGACTGTTAGTTGTGTATCAAATTCTTGTTTAGTTTACATATATATGATTAAACTAGAGAGTATCTAAAACTAAATATTTATTGAATAAATGAATTCATGATTTGTTGGAGAGCTGGAAAATAATGAATTACTGAGCAGTTGTATAAAAATGGGTGGAATTAAGCATTATGTATTTTAATTTTTTTCTATTTATAAATTAGATTATTTGTTCAACAAGATTCAAAACAGTGAATTGGATCATTAAATATGAGTAAGGTTGTGTTAGTTGTAGATAGTAGGGAATTTTCTACTCAGTAACACCCAACTAAGTCAGACTGCAAAATTTATCATAATATGGGAGATTAAAAAGTGACATATAATGTTAATTCCAGAAACAGTATCACAGCATATATGATGAGAGATGTAGGGATAAAAATTCAACAATATATTATTGTGACACCGCTTACAATTATAATAAATAATAAATTACAAAACATTTGGGGGGAAGATAAGTTCTAAGTCAGGCATGATGATTTCTCTACTGCATTTTTAAAAATCATAAAATTCTAAACAATTGTTGTCTATTTTATAACTATTTTCGATGTGGCCAATGTTCTGTGCCCAGAGCATGGATGCGATTAGTTGTCTCCTTCTTCCTCCCCCAACATGAGGTCTCAAGTATTCGTTTTGAATTCTGACTACCAAGAATAAACTCTACTTTCAGAATCTGTCTTTCTTAGACAGATTCTTAGACAATGTTCAATTTTCTGGACATTCTCAAAATTATTTCCTATGCTAAAAAATTTCAACATATTTCTCACCAACTAATTCTTATTTTCCATGCTTTAATGCTAATTAATTATTATGGCATAAGGTTTAATTTTGGTTACTATTCCAGAAATAACTGTATAAATAACTGGGGCCATTAAAAATTTTAAATTCAAATTTAATTGAAAGAATTTCATATGTTTGCAATCAGTATAATATGAAATAATTTATAAAGTGTGGAATTTCCAGTTATTTTCCAAATCACAATAAATAGGTATAAATTTTCTTCATATATTTACATTACGTCTAGCTAAAATTTTGTTCCAGTTACTTGAGGCATAATGACATAAGAAACAAAACTGTCATATGGATTAATAGTGGCAGTTAAAATAAACACTTCAGAGATTGAAATCTAGGTCTTTATAACAAAATTTCAATAAATAAAACCTAATTTTAACAGGAAAATATGTATAAGAAACAAATTATGAAAAATATTGACCATGTGTTTTTAAAAAAGTACATAACAGTGTGAGATAATTTAGAGTTTAGTAATGTCCCAAATATATTGCATTATAAAAATGATACATTATTTATATAAGTATATCAAATATGTAATATGTACTAACTATGTAAATATATATTATGGAAATTTTTTAGTAATATATGAAACAAAATAATAAGTATTCTTTGAAATTATAATGGTGAGGGTTAGAGAATTACATGGGAAATTAAAGTGAAAAGGTAGTGTTAAAACAAATAAGTAGAAGAAAATCTATGGTATTTCAAGTTTAAAATGGCAACAAAAATACACAGAAATATAAACATGTGAAAATATTCATATTGTTGTGCTAGAACTTTTATTTACCCTCAGTCTTTTAAAAACATTCTTTGGTATGATATTTTTAGTTTTTAAATTTCTACTACTTTAAAAAAGTTTAGACTTCATATGGTGAGAGTATATATACTGATAATGTGACACTTCAGGATGGGCTTAGATTTCTATATAACAATTTTGAATGGACTAGCACTTACTAGTTATCATCCATCATTGGCCATCAGAATGACTCAGGGAACTTTCTTGAACATGATTAATGTTTGATTCTATCTGTCTTCAGGGACTTTTGCTCTTTACAATTCATGTGAAATCCAGGAACTTTTGTATTAAAAAGAAATATTAAACAAGATAAACTCATTTCTTTATGTCTATAAAATCTATGACATTATATGATTTGATGTGGTTCTCAACACATCAAGAATTCTCTATAATTAATGAAGTTCTAATTTTTTTATTTTTTCTACTTTATTTCTCAGCCTGAAGCAAAGTGGATTCATAAGCTGCTTTAAAGAACAACTGAGCCCTTGGTTTCACAGAATGGCCTTACCACATCTAGCACTAGCTGTTACTCTCCAATGAGCAAACCTACTTCTGTGGAACTGTAATAAATAAAATCAAGTCTTCCATGAGTAACACGTTACATTTTTGCATATAATTTATCAAGGTGCACTCATAATTTTTATATCTCTGTTGTTAGGAGGGCAGCACATCATAATAGTTATATGTCGTCTAGCAAAATCATTCAGTTTATGGGCATATTGTGAAATAGAGAGATAAAATTAGTTAGAATACTAGTATCATCTCAGTGGCACCCTTTCAGTCACTCAATGATATCCCACAACATCACACCTCTTAAAGTATGTAACACTCCACAATAGCATCAAGTTGAAGATTAAGTCTTTAGCCCATGGACATTTTGGGGATGACTGATACTCAAAATATGAGATACCAATCCTGATTCCAAAATCTTATTTTCACCTCTTAATAGAAACTGCATTTGTTTCATCTCCAGGAGTCCACAAAGGTTTTGCTATTCAAGATTTATTCAAAAGTTTGGTTCCAAAGTTTCCTTTGAGATGCAAGCAAACAGATAATTTATATGGAGAAAGTAAAAATAAGACACAGATCATGAGCTATATCTTCACCTACTTGAAGCACAGCTTTGAGACCTTTTAAGAAATGCAAAAGAGCTGGGCATGGTGTCACACACCTGTAATCCCAGTACTTAGGAAGCTGAGGTAGGAGGACTGCCACAATTTTGAGCTCAACCTAGGCTACACAGTTAGTTAAAGGCTGGCCTGGACTATATTATGTTTATGTTAACTCAAAAAAAAAAAAAAAAAAAGAAGCAAATTATCCAAAAGAATGTTATATACTTACAAGTTAAAATAACAAAGGTTAAATATATATTTTGGTATATTCCAAAATCTGAAAATAGGAAAATTACAAGAAGTGACTTGACAAGCACAATATTGAATCTCAGGAGGACAAATATGAAATCTTATTGCTCCATATCCAGCACCTAGGATACAGTATGGTAGCATGGGACTCTCAAGGCATTGAGAAGATTTACTCATAATGTCTCTCTCTTGAACTGCCTCTGAATGCTGTTCCCAGCCTCCCTCAGTGGGTGTTACATATTTCTGCCATTTCCTTCATGATTTTATGTATATCTTTGTCTTCATTCTCACATCCTTACATATTATCTGGTCAGGGTCTTGTTATAGTAACATATACCCTACCACACACTATTGTTTTTCTAGTCTTTTCTTTGAAATCTTAGTGCAAACATTCATTACTCTTACAATCTCTATGTCTGTAAAAACACTATTGCATGGACAATGTCATATATATATATATATATATATATATATATATATATATATATGACAGAGACAGAAAGGCCCTTTCATCTCTGGCATTGTTACTCTGCTCTGCTTCCTAGTTGCTATTGATTTAAATATATTTGCTCTCCCATGTTCTTCTGTCATTATTATGATTTAGGTATAAATCATCTCCCAAAACTTTCGTGTGCTTGGTTTTGGGGCAGTTAGAAAATGATTATGAAAAAAAAAAAGGCACAATGTTCATATGTGTATTTAGTCACTAGTGTATACAACAACTGAGTGTGCTGTTAGAAGGTAGACTCTTGCCAAATGTCACTGTAACATGTAACCTGGAAGTATAGATCTGTATCTCTGACTTTTCTATTCTTTGTCTGATTTGTCATCACCATGATGTGAGAATGTTTTCTCTGTCATGCTCCTCTTTCATGCCATTTCTGCCTTGAATCCAACTGAAAAATCCAACAAAAATTGTCTAAAAATCATTAGTGAAAATTCCCCTTTAAATAGTGATTGTCGTATATTTTGTCCCAGCAACAAAAAAGTGACTAAGACAGATTTTTGTATCAGAAAAGTTCGGTCTTTGTCATGTTATACTTTAACATGAGATATAGAAGTCTTTAGAACAGGTTTGTGGGAAGTGTCTGGCAAAATTTTGAGATGATACTTAGAGAAACTCCATAGTGGAACAAATTAAGATTGAACTGGGAAGACAAGACTGCTGATAGGAATGAAGACAGAAAAAATGAAACTCAAGAAATTTCAGTTGAAAACAAGGAATCCATTGTCAATTTAAACCAAGGCCAAGTGTGGTATGTTCTGGCAGAAAATCTGTCTACATTTTGATTATGAATTGAAAATTTAGATAAAGATTAAGGATGAAATACCAGTCAGAAAGAAGAAACTTCCAGTGAGCTAAATTCTCAGATTGTAACAGGGAGACTGGATTTCCTGTTAAACATATATACATGAGAATCAAGAACAAAACACAGAACTGACTGCAAAATTTAAACATCCATTCCAAAAATGAGCATCTGGAATGCATTGACACTTCTCCAGGGAAGAAGTAAAAATGGCAAATAAATACATGAAAAAATGTTCAGCATCAAGTGTCATTCTAGAAATGCAAAATAAAACAACACTGAAATAACATCTCACTCCAGAAAAAAAATGACTATTATCAAGAAATGACCTAATAACAACTGCTGGGAAAGCTGTGGGAAAAAAAGAATATAACTTCATTGTTAGTAGGAATGCAAATTTGTACAACAAATATGTAAATCATTATGGTAATCACTCAAAGTACTAACACAAGAGGTTCCATTTAACCCAGCTATCCCTCTACCTGGTATTTTTCAAAAAGAGTTAAAAGCACGTTACCACAGAAATCTGTGCACATTCATGTTTATGCCACAACAATTCACATTAGCTAAATCTTGGAAACAGCCTAAATGCCCATCAAAAGATGAATGGTTAAGATATAATATTTTAGTACAATGATGTATCAAACATAAAAAAAAAAAACTTGAGACATTTACAGGTAAATGGATGCATCTAGAGAATATACACAAGTGAAATAAATTAGAAACCTATGTAAATGTCACATGGTTTCTTTGATAAGAGAAACTGAAAGCATAAATAAAGATCAAAGTGAAAAATAGATATTGTGAAATAGAATGAAAATTTTAAAATGGGAAAAGATATGCTGTAGGGTGAGTAAGGAATAGAAAATAAATAAGAAAAGAATGATAAAATGAAAGCAAACTTTTTGTAAATAAGGACCATGAAGAATGGTTGAAAGGGAGGGTTATTGGGGATATAATAAAGATTCAAGATATATTATGTACAGACACAAAGTCCTTGTGATTTATGTGATCATTATATATATCCAAAGTGCACCAATAAATTTAATTTTAAAAACTAGAGCTGAAGGGGCTGGGGATTTAGCTCAGTGGCATAAGCACCTGCCTTGCAAGCAGGCGGTCGTGAGTTCGATCCCCGGTACCGATAAAAAAAAAACGAAAAAGACAAAAAAAAAAAAAAAAAAAAAAAAAACTAGAGCTGAAAAATTTTATCAAATTGCCAAAAATACCTGTAAAGTTGGATCCTATAAAACTGAGACCTGAAAAATTGAAGCCTAGGATGGTATTTGAAATTTCATTCAAGAAGTGATTGCAAATATGTGGCAAAAGAGAGAATGATTTATGAAATTTTAGTATTAAAAAGGAACCACTACTTTGCATCAGAACAATAGGGACAGTGACTTGATATCTCAAGAATCAGCAAGTATCTACCATTCATAAGGTCAAATCTGCAAAACTGAAAGACTGCCTTGTGAGGGGAGTGCCCAGGAGTCCCAATTTATTCAGGGTCAACTAACAAAGAGTTTACAAGAATTAAACAATCCAGGCACTCAGGCTGCTACAGCTATGATGCAGATGGGCCTATCTATTTCTTGAATTGGTGGCATACGTTAGTGCTATCTACATGGTGCAGATTTTATAGGCAAGCAAAGTGAAAGTATTTTAGAAGCAGAAGTTTTTCCTCAAAATCTCAAAATTCAGAGGAAGCCCTGAAATCCAGGATGTGTGCCCCTGATATAGCAGTGTGTAAAGTTACATATATCTATATCTATATCTATATCTATATCTATATCTATATCTATATCTATATCTATATCCATATCTATCTATCTCTCTCTCTCTCTCTCTCTATATATATATATATATATATATATATATATATATATATATGCCATTTTAACCATACCCATTCTGCCTATTCATGAACAGGGTCTATCTTTCAGTTTTCCTTTTTTTTTTTTTTTTTTTTTTTTTTTTTTGTACCAGGGATCAAACTCATGATCTTGAGCTTGCCAAGCAGGCACTCACACTGCTTACCCAGCCCCAATATTCCAGTTTTCTGATGTTCTATTTGATTTACTTTTCCACAGTATTGTAGTTATCATTGTAAAGGTTATATACATATATATATATATATATATATATATATATATATATAATTTTAAAAGAATAAAACAGCAATACAAAACAGAAAATAAGTCAATGAAAACAAAGCAGTGAAAGTGGTATGTAACTTCAAAACAGAACAACAGGTCATCAAAATGGCTACCACAATATATCTTATCTTCACAATAGTTTTCCATTTCCTCAGGCATAGTAAAATTGAATAAAAAACAGAATAATACAAATCAAAACAGCATTAAAAACAATAAATTACAACAAAACAATGAGAAAAATATAGAATTTCAAAAACAAGACATTTGGAAATTTCTCCTGTTTTCCATATTGCACACTGTCATCTTCCTAATAGATGCTTAGACTACTGACCTTGGTCCTGCAAAGTCAATCAAACAATACAAAAATTTGGTTGTTTTTGTACCTTGGTTGCTATCAACTCAGCCTGTCCTTCGAACCAGGTAGCTGCTTTGAGGGGAGGAGTCTTGATTCTCAGCGGATGCACTAGTGGGTCACAAGAAAGGCAATCTTATTTCTCCCTTCCTTGGCCTCACCTATTATGCGGCTTATGGAAAGATCAAACTTGCTTCTTGCTGTGCTCCTCCCAGACCCAACATGGGCTCTGCTGATTCATAGGAACAGTGGACTTGCTTCTCTCTCCTGGGCCCTCTGTTGTCTGGCTGTCAAGGCTTTTAACTTATTTGATTAGGTTAATACTTAAGAATTTAAATTTTATGATATTGTGCAAGTATTGATTTCCTACTTTATTTTTCAACAGATTAATTGTTAGCATCCATGAATGCA